AAATGAAGTTCCGACTCTCTTGTAACTGGGTGAAGTACTGATTATCCTTGATTGATTGCGTGTTATTTTATGCCATGGAACAAATTTATTTCTGTCAACAAGAGCTGCCTTCACATAATGATCTAGAGCGATAGCTAGCACATGGTTCGTTTCCTTTTGGATCGACTGTGAAAAGAGCGTCATGGACAGAAAACGTGTGAAGGGTGGTAGTTATTGACAACCACTACACTTGATTGTGTGGTGTTTTCTACTTGGAGTTATAAGGTGGTCATTCTCATAAAAAACGTAGTGCATAATGTTATTAAAAAAAAAAAAAAAAAAAAAAAAAAAAAAAAAAAAAAAAAAAAAAAATAATAATAATATTTCTTCATCGAGCATTGAGGTAAAGTAGTGGGGTTGACTCTCGCTATTGCAGCGATTGTTACTAAGTGAAACACCTCAGTGTGAATGTGTTGCTTAAAATCATTGGGTAAAGTAGTGGGGTTGACTTTCACTATTGCAGTGATTGTTACTAAGTGAAACACCTAGTGAATAATAAAGCTCATGTTCTTTCGGTGCTAGAATTCTGGAGAGATATGACTTGCACTACATATATATATATATATACATATTCCGCCGCTGTTTTGTTCCTTGGTGTGTTTGTGACACAATATCTTTTTTGGATTAGTTAAGCATGAATCTCGTTATAGGTGACTAGGAATGAATTTTGTTGATCTTGGTGTCTTGCGTGATTTTGTTTTTCCTTTTTTCATCCTTAGGCATAAATCATGTGGTTTCCTTAGTGAATTTGAATTATTTGGGTCTCATATATTTTGTGTAGTACATATGATGGCATAAAATCAGATTTTCCTACTTAATTTTCGAAATAAAATGGGAAGTTATTTTTGTGGGAAGTTGTGATGTGTTTGAATTTGGTTTTGGAAGGGATTTAGTTTCCTAAAACCGCCCAATCTCTTTCTCTCTCCAATTACCTTGAATTGTGGAACGTGCCTTTTGCAGTTATCTATGACAGGTTCTTTAAACCTACACGCAACCTCTCTCTCTTTCTCTTTTCTTTACCTCTCATTTTGTTCTTTCGTCTCTCTCTCTCTCTCTCATTTTGCCCCAAACCCTAGCTTTTCAATTCCCCACCTTCATTTGTTATTCATGGCTGGTAGCAAAGATAAGTCGAAGAAACGCCATAAGAAGCACAAGGACAAGGGATCGAAGCGGCGTCGGTATTCAGTCGCTCCTAGTTCGCCTCGTATGTCGCCGCCTCCGGAATCGTCTCAGCCACAGGATGCACCACCTGTTACCCCGACTCCATCTCCGGCAAAGGCGGACACTGAGAACGAAGCTCCTCAACCCTCTCCGATGTCTACGAATATTCCTGTTCTCTCGCCTCAGTTGCTTCAAGACATCGCGGCCGGCACCACTCAGGGGGAGTCTTCGGCACTTCCCACTTCTGGAACAAAGTCGACCACAAAGGAAGGTGACAAATCCGACACTGCTGGTACAGCCATTGAAGTTCGCTCCGACCAAGAGACTCCTCCTCGCCGACAATCTGTCCGTCGGTCCGCTAGGCGTGCGAGTAAAGAGCCCATGGAAACCGCTCCTGTTGAACAAGAACCTGAAGATGACGACTATGACCTGTCTAACGCCTACTCGAACAGGTTCTATACTCAAGCTGCCTTTGGTCGTTTTGAAGATTTTTCTACTTATGGTTTTTGGGCTGAACATCCTCTTGGTGATGCGAAGTATGAGGATTTGGGTATTGTTAAGCTCATTGAGGCTGTGGGTTTGTCTAAAACCGTCACTAATCTTCACCCTTTCTGTGGTCAAGCTGTGAGAGAATTTTTTGCTAATTTAACCCCTGCTGTTTTTACCCCTGGTAGCCCTCGTTTTCACAAACTCTTTCTTCGGAATAGAGTCATTGATTTCTCTCCTGAGCTTTTGAACTTGCATTTGGGTTTACCTGCTGATGTTCCATCTTTGTCTGAAGTTGATCTTGATGTTGTTACCCAAACCCTTTCTGATAAAAACCTTGATACTTGGCCTGGTTCGAATTTGCCTGTGAGTTGCTTGTGCCTTACCGCGAACATTCTTCATAAGATTGGTGCTGGGAATTGGACACCTACCTCCAACAAGAACTTGCTCACTGAACTTCAGAGCAAAGTCATCTATTGGATCATGGATGGACAGGTGTCCAACTTTGGTGAAGTTGTCTTTGACATTATCCACTCTTTCATCATTAATTCCGATTCACGTCGCACTCTTCCCTTTCCATGCTTAATTTGGTCCTTCCTTGCTGCTAATCATTTCTCTGTGAACCCTCGATTTAATGATGCTCTTGAGAACCCTGGGAAAGCTTTTATTGTGAGTGCTCGCACGCTGAGTATGAAGGCCGCTCCCAAGACCAAGTTTGATCTTGCTCCTTCCCTGGTTCCCACCAAATGGGATGAATTCTTGGTACAGCAGCTAGCTGAGTGGGACGCTGTGGCCAAAAAGGTTGCTACTCAGCAGGCTTATCTTCGTCAGGTTCTTCAGGCTGTCAAGGGACTGCAGCGCAAAAACTCGGGGACTGGCCCTTCGGCATCCCGTAGTTCGAAAAAGGGGGAGAAGAAGGCTAAGGGTTCTGATGAAGATGAAGATGAAGATGTCGATGATACTGAAGCTGAAGAGGATTCCTCTGATTCAGGGGGAGAGTCTACCTCTGATTGAAGTTTGTTGCTGCGCGATCTAGTTGCTTAGGATGTGTGTGGAGGGATGTAGTGAGGTCTTTATGTATTAAAGAACCTCGTTCGTATTTCATCTATTTTGTGCTGTGCTGCTACATTGCCTATTGCTTGTGTGACTTTTGTGATGAACTTCGTTTTTAGGGGATTTATGGATGCAGTTAATTATCTCTTGCTTGCAGGAACTAATCAGTAGAACTAATGATTTATTGCAGAATCTGTGGAGTTCTTGCTGTTTATGTCTTGCAGGAAATTTTCGAACTAGATGCCAAAGGGGGAGATTGAAAGATATATTTTGGCATAAGTTCGAAATGTTAAAGAAGTTCCTGCCATGTTTAGTAAGGGAAGTCTTTGTTACCAAAATTAGTTCCTATTATATTTGCTCTTACGATTTGTTTACGTGTTATAGGATATTGATGCTATAGGAAAGGAGCTTCACGCGCATGGCACATCACGAAAGAAAAGGAAAACTTTGGATAAGTAAGGCAAGAGAATATGTGGAGAGAGAAGAAGAGTCCTTTACATGGTAGGACTTTGGGGACATGCCAAATAGAGACCGAGGATTGTGGGAGTCCTTTGAGACGATATAAAAGCCAATCTTGAAGGTTGAAGGCGGCTGCTGAAACTAGGGCAATCATATATCTCCTTCAAGCTTCAAGTTTCACGTTGGCTACTTGTTTCATTTTTGTTCTTGTTTCGGTTCAGTTCTTAAGTGATTCGATCATTGAGAAACTGATACCATTTTTGACTGTATTATTTTCAATTATTCTGAGTTGAACTTTTTGATCATTTACACTTAGGGAGTAAGTGTGAAAAATAAGTCCACGGGACGTGGCCGGAGAAGTAATTGATAGGCTAGTCATAGTTGTGGTTAGAATAGAAGGGAGTTCTATTTTGTAAATCCAAACTATGTATTCAATAGTTATCAATGAAAGAGCTCTGAGGGGAAGTGGGATACTTCCCTGAAGAGTGTTTTAAATCTTTGATTGTCGCTTCCGCAAATTACAAACTTTACAATTGTTCGTACAACAATACAGAACACTCGGGATCATTCTATACGTTTCATCATGTAACTGCATACTTAACTATTGCGTTTTGGACTCTGTGTATCTGCACCAGAATCAAATATATTGCAGATGCCTTGTTCAAGCTGAGCTGAATTGAGGACTCGTGTGTTGGTGATACTTGCATTCATGTGCAACTTACAGCAAACATATGCTTCAGTTTACTTGTTCCAAACATTAGTAGTACTCCATGGGATGTCCTTTCTGACACACCAACTTCTTTTCTAAGGATCAACGTTGACCCCCGATGCATGTTTAGTTAGTTCTGACTACTTGGCTAATTATAGATGATGTTAGAATATTGATATACTTGTGATTGTCACAAAGCGATTAGAGATTAATACATCAACCCAACTGTATCACAACAAACTGGATTATGGGATTCTGTTTAAGTTGTTCGGTGGATTTATTTGGTAAATAGAGCATTGTGGATTTGTGTTACCTGTAGAATCCGTTGCAATGTTGTCACTAATCACTATGTGTGGTCACAGTTCAAACACGTGGCAAGGCATCGAAATAACTATCATTTTAATCGACTTCTGTACTTTCTAGTTTTATGGCGTAATACCCAACCTTCATACTTCCTATCTCCTGCACAAAAAGAAAATGGGGTGTTTACTACGGTCAACAGCTAAAGATAGTTGAAATTAATCATATTTATCCGTCATAGTGTCTTGTGCAACTTTTTGTTATTGAAATGGGTACTAAATATCCTGAAGTGAAAATTGGAGAAAGAAATACCGTGAGTGTAGTGAATATTTTTGGCTGAGAGTGGAAGAAAAATAGTACAGAGAAATAAATATTAGATGTATCTTGAAAAAAAATGATTCATTCTATGCGTGCATATTTTGGGAATATCTGTTGGATTCTACTTATGGAACCATACATTGTTTCTGTGCCATTTAATTTATTGTTAACTTTTATTGTTAACTCTCTCTCCCCTAATATGGTATAAGTACTTTATGAAATACAAATCAAGAACAACATTTGATCAAACTAAAAGTGGGGTAAGCACATCTTATTCTAGATAAAAGAAATGAGACTATATGTTCACCATGGATGACTATGTCTTTTTAGTTAGTTGCAGAATCATATCTGGGCTACGTTATGAGATCCATTATAAACAAGATTACTGATGTCAGCTTAACGTTTAGAGGTTTTTATTGGTATTTTATCTTGGTAATAACATTTTTATGTCCATAATGTAAACTTGTTAGATATAAATAGCTTTAACAAGTGTTCCAATTGCAGAAAATAAGTGATGGTGATGATTGCAAACCTGAAACAGCTACTGAAGATGTGGAAAATGATGTCCATTTCAGTAAAGCTACGGCCTTGTCTAAACAGCATGAGAAATCCCCAGTAATGGGTGTCTTAAGTCCAAAGGCTGACGGTGCGATCCACAGACCATCTATAAGCGAGAGCAGTATTAAGAAGGCAATTTGGGAAACGGCTGATCTTTTTGAAGCTAATTCTGCGTATGCAATTTAATTAAATGTTTTGATTTCCTTCTATTTCTTGATAGGTGAAATGATTATGTGCCTGAAACTGTCCTTTTGAAATTATTATTAGAGCTTATGTCTGTTTATACGTTCTTGTGACCTTGTCCAACTCATCCATAGGATAAGTCATCCTCTGCATTTTTTTTCTTATTCACATTATAAATATCAACTTATGTTTAGTTGCTCTTTTTGCAGAAACATAACTTTGGCTGGAGTTCGCCGACTTCTAGAGGAGGATCTCGGACTAGAGAAAAACGCACTTGACCCTTTCAAAAATTTCATAGGTCGACAGATAGATCAGGTAGGGACAAGATTTTGCACACTCCTGTTTTTTCTAAAATATAATCGCTGGCCAATTTTATTGACTAATGCTATATAGGTGTTAAATTCACCAAAGCAACCTAAATTTGTGAAAGATGTCAAGAAGAATGTCTCTCATATCTCAAAAGCTAAAAAGTCGAAAACTGGCAGCAGTGAAGAAGAGTCTGATTCTTCACGCAGAGAAAGTGATGAGATGGGAGTTAAAGCACGGCCGAAAAAGGAAGCTGATTCTAAAGGAAAAACTAAGAAAGCGGAACAGTCAAAGAAACGGAAATTAGAGTGATCTTGACGTCTATGGCAAAAAGCAGAACAATTGCAAAGAGGGAAAAAGAAGAATAAAATAATAGTCATGGGGATGGAAGCGTATCTGAAGATGGTCAATCTCGATCATCTGTTGAAAAACCAGGACAGGTTGGTCACTCAAATCTTGTAACTCATATATCTTTATAATTCGTCAGAGGAGTGGTATGCAAACTTTTACTTAAATAAAGCATTTTGACTAGCAGATGAAAGAAAAGGCAGCTTGTGGAATGAGGTTTATCAAGATGCTTGGCCTTTTTCGTTTCCCCCTAAGTTAATTGTTGTCTTCTAATCTTGTCTTACTGGGCAGTGTTGCTTTTTCAGTTTACAAGAAAGCTAAACAAGTACCAGAGGAAGAACGTGAAGCCTTCCTAATGAAGGAATTAGAAGGTATTTCTCACAAGGGAAGGGTTATCTAAGAATCCCACTGAAAATGGTAATAGTTGATTTAGTACAACAACAACAACAACATACCCAGTATATTTCCAACAGGTTGGGTTTGGGGGGTCAGTTGTACGCAGACCTTACCCTTGTAATTATACAAAGAGGTTGTTTCCGTAGCGACCCAAGGTGCATTGCGCCGTTTGATATATTTTTTTTTTCTAGAAACTTCACTAATAGAAGAAGCACTAGAATTTAATTGAGCCATTTTGATCTAGTCCATTATTAGCACTATGCCAGGAGAATTGTCAACAATGACTCTTCCAGCTCCATTTGCAATGGACAATTAATAGTTGATTTAGTATCTCACTTTTTTTGTGAACACAACTAATACCAAATAATATATGTCCAGATCAGCGTAGTAAAGGGATAAAATGCATGGAGAGACTGTTTTCTTTGATCTAGTCCTTATCCTTAAATGGGAGGTCAAATGCTCTTGAGATTTTCAACCTTGTAGAAAATGGGAAATGCATAAATGAAAATCAACTGGGGAAGTAATGAAGTTGTTGAACCTATAGTAGTATGGGAGCCTGGTTTTCCCCATTGACTTGCCTATTGAATTGTGAGTGTGGAGATTGCAATTTCTATTAAACCACTTAAATGAGTAAATGGATTTTTAGAAAGCTAACATCTCCTTCAGGTAAAGTGCTAATCTTTTTGTTTGCCTATAAAATTTGTTTTCTGAAAGACCACAAAAACGATTTTTTTGCTTAATTCTATGGTTTGTCAGTTATTGTTGGCCATGCAATTAAAGTTGTCTCTTAGCTTTATGTTGTTTGGGTATCAACTAATACCATCATATCGATGCTTACAGAAATAAAGGACTGTAAAAAGAGAAAGGACAGAGCGAGAGAACTTGAAAGCATTGACATGAACAACATTATATCCAGCTCAACGGAGAAGGTCAACATTTAGTTTTTTGCCTCCCGTGACACCTGGGGTTCCCGCTACAAAAGACAAGGTTGACACAAAAGATACCAAGAAGAAAGATAACAGGGATAAAAATAATAAGGATGACAATGGACAGGAGGATAAAAAGGAATAGAAGGAGAATAAGGAGGAGGAAGAGACGGACGAGAAGGATTGCGAAGAGGTGGAAATGATGAGGAGGAGGAAAATGGCGATGATGATGAAGAAGAAGATGAAAGTGACGAATTCGACGAAGGTAGGTATAAAATAAAGACTTAATCCAATTTGCCCGGTTTGCTAATTTTATCTTCCTTTCATTTATATCACCTTTTCTTTGTGTTATTTGGATACTATTAGTCTTTAATGTCTTGACCAACTTATTTTTCATTCACTTTATAAGTTGCCCAACTGCATTAGACTATATATGAGATAGTGCAATGATTGTTAAGCAGAATGTTGCCTATTGACAACTGAGTGATGCTCATGAGCATGTAGTTTTCTCATAAATTCTCTTAATATATCTCTAGACACACTTAGCCGTGAATCGTGAAAGAGCATATCAACTTCACTTTTGTGAGAGCCTAATATAGAGCAGTTTGAACAAGATTAGTTCTCTGATGCTCGCTGATTTATCGTTCCATTCATGGCCCCGACTGTACAAGGAACGAACCCTACAAACTACTCAGAAAACGCCTTGATCAGCATTTAAACTACCTTTTCTTCCACCATTTTTCTGCTTATATTGTATTCTAACATGAGTCTGGGAAAGAATGATTCACACTGCCCCCATCCTTTTTGGTAGTCAGGTTGAATGTTTGGGGTAGCATTCGTATAACCCTTTAATAAACTTATTAACCTGTGCAAGATTTTTATGTGCTAATATACCCTTTTCAAGAGTTTGTTTCCAATACTTAGGTCCAAGCTCACATAAAGAATGAAATGGCCAATTCATTATTCTTTTCTTTTTCACTATTTTTCTTTCTTTCTTTTTGAGCGTGAGGCAAGAATGAAACTAAAAGGAAAGTAGATCCACAGTAATGTGCAAAATTAAAAGTTAAAAAAAATAACTGATACAAAATATAAACCCAGTAAAATCACTACGCGTATTATCCGGGATGAGTGTTGTTGGTGTCGTCTAGTTTAGTAAGGCCACCAATCAGTTGCACCGGGTTTCTTCACAAGGATGTCATTGTATTCAGGTCTTGAGGTCTGCGCTTCACATTTACACCCATAAATAAATAAATATATATATTACTTACATGAATTTGTTTTATTCAGTTGCAAATTGCAATAGGAGAAACAAAAACGCCGACAGGCAAGTAACTTTTACAATTCATGGAGCAAAAATGAAGAAATAAATTGCAAAAAATAAATGGAGATGGGCGATGGATAAATCGAACCAGATCTTTGAAGATAATGTACGCGATGACGAAAAATAGGACGAAGAGGATCTCGAATTCTGCAAAGCGGACAAAGGCGAAAACAGAGTTGACTGCACGAGTCAACAACGACGAAGACGATGAAGACGAAAATGATGAATCTTCCCTTCTTCTGCGGATGCCATCGAACCCAATCATCCCTCTCCTTTCCGCCATATCGATCCAATCTGTTTCTGGATTTAATTGGAAGAAATAATTTCAGATCAGATAAATTGAAAAATTGTCCCGAATTTTGAGGGACCTTTATTTTGAATTTACCATTCAAAGACAACCAAGACATGTTAAAATGGCAAATTGCAAATTTGGCACTCCATTTCAAATAAATTACACCACCGAGTGCACTATTAGTACAAAATATAAAAGTTGACTGCCTCTACCAGCATATGTTCATCTTTTGACCATTTCTCCAACTAATCAATGTGAACTTTCTGGTTGGATTATTATTATTATTAATCCACCATATCTAATTAATGCTAAAATGTTTCATTGCACTTTTTTTAGGGTTAAGTAAGACAAAAACCGTTACATTTTATATTAACAGAGTAATAATTATACTTTTTTTTTATATCATATAATAGTAATTATTAAAACTAATAATTATAGTTTACACTAAATGATATATGAAAGTTACAGAAATATAAAAAAATATTGTAAACTTTTTGCTGAAGATATTTATTCTAAAATTAATATTATACTTTTTTTTATCTTATTTAGCGATTGTATTTTTAAATAAGTTAATTTATTTTAATGTTATCGTAAAATTCCTTAAAATCGCATAATCAAATGTTATAATAAATTTAATATTTTTAAGCTAATAAATTGGTGATCTCTCAAAATTACATTGTTTATTATATTTTATGTAATTAATATAGTGGTTCATATGCAATCAAATAGTTATGTACTATTTATTTTAACCAAAGATCAAATTTTAAAACATAATATCATTATCTAATTTATATTTTTATTATTATATGCATAAATATAACTTATAATAATCTATGTTTAAAATATAATATCATTGTATAACTTATAATTTTAATACTATATGTATAAATGTAAGTTATAATATCCTATTTACACTGTGCAAAATGCACAGAGTCGAATACTAGTTTAGATTAACATTGCTAGCCAAATTGGACGGCAGGGTAGTAAGTTAGAGTACTGAAAAATGATAATTAACCTAATTTTTGACCTATATAGATTTTCTTTTATAATAATATTAAAAAACTGAATTAATTTTGAATCATGATTTTTTCGGATCAATACATTTATTAATTACAAAAAATAATTTATAATTAATTATAATTTTCGGCCAAGGTTATAAAATTTACTTTATGCCATATACATTCCTAAGAAAATCATGTGCATGGACATGAGAACTAAAATTGTGCACCAAAATGTAAAGGCTAGCTTTCAGTCAAAGGTGCACATACTCTCGACGGCCAAAGGTTTCGAATGGGACTTGGATCATAGTACTTGGCAATTAGATTGTAGGTTAGATTTTGACGGCCTTAGATGATCAGAGCCGGTGTTGAGCTTGGGCCTTAAACCCAACTAATGTGGCATTCACTATGTTCATTGAATCCAAAATTCAATTCACCTGATAGTTTCGTCGATTATCGGGTGTAGTGAGTGGTGTGTTAATATCTGAAAACACAAGTTTAGCATCTTGAATGGTTTGGGCTGGTGTTGAGCTTGGACCCGAAAGTTTAGCACCTTATACCCGTAACGTTCACCAGCTTCATTGATTTCGCATATATTTTATCCCACCTGACAATTCCCGTTGTTATCAGGTTGAGTAAGAGTGTGTTTACACCTAAAAAACCAAAAAATCAGCAAACAAACAAAATATTTCAGGGGCAATTCGGGGTAATTTCTCAAATTGTTATACGACGGCTCGCCGATTTTACGACGACAGTAAAACAAAGGGTCCACCGGTTTCAGGGACCATTCCTTTTATGACGGCACGCCAGTTTTTTATGAGGAGCCCCCGAAGGCCAACGGCGGATCCACATATGGTCCAGCCTAGACAATTGCCTAGGCTGAATTTTTGGGCTAACTACATAATTCATATAGTTAACATGTGTTAATTAAAATTTTATATTTTAATATTTGTAAAAATATAAATACAATCTTTTATTTTAAAATTTTAAATAATTCTTACAAAATAACATTATTATTTTTATTTGAAATGATACACCTAAATTGTCATATTCGACTGTATTATATTACAATATTTTTATTACTTATACCGTATAATAGGCTTGAAATATAAATTTATTATTTTTCAATATAATTGGTAAATAGTCGAATTTTTATTGATAGAGTTCAAATAGATATAATTATTTTAGTTTATATATACAATGTGAATGTTAAATTATAGATCATCAAAATATGTATCTAATTTAATTTATCATATATGAAAAATAATAAAATATATAAATATTATTAACTTTAAAAATATATTTATAATTTAAGTTAGCCAAGTGTTTAAATTTGAAATTTTTTAGTAAAGATCTATATTTATATGGACTATTTCGAATTCTTAAAATTAACATATAACTTACAAAGCGTTGGAAGTTGAAAATAAAAAACTATATCAATATATAAGAAGACAATCCATAAGGAACTCTTTATAAAATAGCAGGAACAAAATTATGACATTTAGACTTTTCTTAAATTAATAAATTATTTTAAAAAATGGTTTTGTTATAACTCAGTACAAAAATAATGAAGGAAAAAGGATTATAAAATATTGTTGGTATATTTCTTAATAATAATAAAAATGCAAAACAAAATAACCGGTCTCATTCTCAATTTTATTTTTTAGCATCAAGTCAAAGACAAACTAAATAGGAAAGCTCTCAACACCCGATTGCTCCAATGGTTTATTTAATTGTTAATATAAGTACTTTGTGCACTATGGTTAAAAAATTTCTTTAACTATTTTTTGCCCTGGCTCATAAAAATTTTTGGATCCACTGCTTCCGAAGGCGGTGAAGCATCTTACCGGCGACACGAGCGACTTTTACGACGAACTGTCAATTTTCGATGAGGAACATCTGGGACCGGAGGTATAGAAGGCTTACAGCCCTCTTAGATTTAATGAACTGATGAGGAGTGACTCAACAAATGTACTTTCCCCTGAAAGGACATTGAGTGAGACAGTCGTGGCGGATTCATTATTCAGACATCTTTCAACTGCCAAAGGAAGGGTTGTCATTACCCAGTTTGCTTCAAATATACATAGACTTGATAGTGTAAAAGCTGCAGCAAATCTCACCGAAAGGAAGTTGGTATTTGTTGATGGTTCATTTGAGAAGGCTTTGAAAGGAAAAATAAGAATTACTACAAGGTGCTTTTGACTTGATACAGACAAACTTCTAGATGCACTTCATAATTTGCCCATGCTGACATAATTAGGCGACATTCAACCTTCGTGATCGATAGGGGAAAAACACCAGGCGATTCCTGTCATGGGTACGACTCCGGTGTCAGCACGTTTGGTGCGGCTTCAAGGGCGAAGCCTTCCGAATCGAGGGAGAATGATGCTGATAGGGCATTAGTTTAAGCAACATTATTATTATTATTATTATTATTATTATTATTATTATTATTATTATTATTAGAATGATTCAATAATTATTTGTTATTTATGTTTATTTCTTGGTGAACAAATTAGGTCTAAAGTTTTAGTAGTCTTATTTAAAGATTCATTCTTCTTTGTTATTAAGTAGTTGTTTATGAAATAAAAAATTGATTGAGTTTATCGTGTTTTGAGATTGAGATCTCGTATTATCCTTCTCACTCGTACGCTTCTGTCTACTTCACTTACCTTTAAGTGAAAGTGAATCTCGTGCATTCCACGAGATGCATGGAGGTCTATAAATAGAAGTTCATAGATTACAATAAGTGACATTCATTCAACCTTCTACATCCTTCAAGCTCAAAAGCCCCACACATACATAATACAGTGCTCTTCGCCGCAACTCGAAAATATGAAGTGCAATTCAACAAATCGTTTGTAACAACATATCCATCAGAAACTCTTAAATTGATAACAGGAAAATGAAATTAAAGGTAGGATAGAAGAAAGATAATTCATTTTTCCCCTTATTAGGCACTATTCTAGTGGTCTTGGGAGTGAAGACTGAAGACCGACCAAGATTTAATGGCAATTGCCTCACAATACTCATTTTCTACTACTTAATTAATACGTTTTTATTTATTTACTAGTACAATATTTGCGTACTACAAGGTTACTTGTTAAAAAAATTATATTTAAAATTATATAATAATAACAACAAAAATTGTTTTGATTTTTAAATACTTTTTGAAAATTATATTATTATTTATATTTAAATTGGCACCGTCACTTACACGACTTACCATCATATTTTATATATTTTTTTAATTTAGATCAGATAACTACTTTTTAGTTAAGTTAGTTGAAATGATTATATTTTTCTTGAATTAATTTTAATAGATAATTTAATTTTAATTATAGATATAAATTAAATTATTTATTTATTTTATATGTATAATATAGATGTCAAATCAAAGTTAATGAAGAAATGATTAATTTGATATATTATATATAAAAATTTAATACATATATATATATGTATAAGAATTTGATATATTAATCATTTTGATTGTAATATTCAATTTAGAAAAGTGAGAAATTCCAAAACAAATATTAGGGTCATATTAGTCTAATAATAGTATAAAATGTTCTGAAATTGTGTTTGAAGGTTGGAACTCCTGTCATGTTGTTGCAGAACATGGATTATTTTATGGATTTATGTAATGGAACATGGCTGGTTGTGACAAAACTCTCCACTCATGCTCTCGAGTGTAAAATACTCACAACGGATTACATAGGCGAGAAGGTGTTGATTCTTAGAATGACTATAACTCTTTCCGATGTAAGAATTTCTCTTAAGTTCTAGCGGCGACATTTTCCAATTATGGTTTCATACGCCATGACTGTAAACAAGAATTAAGGCAAATGTTATCGCATGTTGGTTTATTTCCTAAGAAGTCATTTTGAGTCATAGGCAGTTATACATTGATGTCTACCGTGCCACCAACCAAAGTGGTTTGAAAATATTAATCTGTGGTGATAGGACTCGCCAACAAATCAAACTAAAAATGTTCAATAATTTATGATTTTTTACTTTTTTTGTGACCCGTTCAATTTGTTACATATATATCAAGTCTATTAATTTTAATACTGAATATTTTAGTAAAATATATCATCACGTGCATCGCACGGGTCGCGACTAATTATTGATATAGAATAACATTGTTCTTTATCCAAATCAAATTATAAAGTATGAATATTCGCTAAGTAGGATTGTGAAGCGCGCTGAGCTTAAACGAGCCTGCCATCTAGGTTCAGCGCGTTCTAGAATTATATATAGTGGATTATTGGCCTATTCGTCCTTTTTTATTTTTTTTTCTTTAAAAATAAAAGAAAATGGCCAGCACTTGCTGTCACTTATACTACCGCTATGTGGGGAGTAAGTATTCCTTTCAATTCTATCTTTTCCATCTTCATTCATTCTTCCCCTCGGACCAAAGAAAAATGAAAAACATACATAAAATAGTAACTGCGTGTTGATTGTGTTACCTTTTACTTACTCACTTGTGCACCCATTATTCCAAAATCACATACAGATAGATAGATGCATCACACTCGCACTCACACTCACTGAAAAATCCAATTTTTATTTAGTCATTTGCTTCTCAAAAAGGTCGCAAAAAACAGAGAAACTGAAGGAGATGCGTGCAATTGGGATTTTTGGGCCCGTGTTAATTTTGTTACTTAGCGTCGTTAGCCTCCATGAAGTTTGTTTATCCCTGGTTAGTTTCTTTCGACGGATCTTGTCAAATTAGTCTGACTTGAGAGAGAAATATTAAAATTGGACCTTGATGAAATTAATTACATAACTTTCGTGAAATGGCATCTTGATCTTGCAGGGAGACGGGTCGGGTATGTTACCAGTGATGGATCTTGGAAAGGTCAAGACGATGATAATGGTGGATGAGAGCAGAAGGAAATTGAGCAGCTTTGCGGTTTGTTCTCTGTGCATGTGTTGTGAAGGTGGTGGCAAAAATTACTGTTTGCGATCTCCATGTTGTTACACAATCAATTGCAACATACCAAACAGGCCCTTTGGCTTCTGTTCTTTCACTCCCAAGACTTGTAATTGCCTCCAATGCTATATCTAGCCTCATACTCGTTCTCTTTTTTGTTTTTAAACTTGTTTATAGCTATTGTGTCTAAGGGACAACTACATAATTTTTCCTTCTCTTTTGCTTGTGGCTTTGAGATAGGGTTTTGTTCCCTTGCGATTACCTTTATTAGGCTTATAAGCTTGATAGGGAAAGATAATTAGGGAGACTTTCTGAAAGTGGCAAGAACTAATTAGCTGGAAGCAGCAGTGGTATCAGTTATTTAGATTTATGGAGTCCAAATTCATTGTCCCTTTTTCTTCTTACAATCTCTCTCTCTCTCTCTCTCTCTCTCTCTCTCTCTCTCTCTCTCTCATACTCACTGCTTTCCCCTTTATGTTAAGAGTGAGTGCTTCATTATTCATGGTTTGATGGTTTCAAATTGCAATGGCTAAGTATGGGGGATGATGAACATTGGCATGATTATGTAAGCGCAGTATAAGTTTCTTACAGGTTACAACTCACTTGCTAATGTTGTTGACTTATTTGATTTGTGGGAACGTGTTAGTGATGAGTGGGATCAAATTTGAATTATCAATTATGTGGCCTGATGATAGAGTTAAAGGATATACGGTCATTGGGGGGAGTTTTTTTCATCATAAAAAGTTGGTACTGACTGTTGATCCAACGGTGAAAAACCGAGTGAGGGCACTCGATTGAGTTTGCCCTTCACTGCAGAACCTTATGAAGGTGGTTTTGGGCAGAGGCATGAGTGAACCATAGTTGAGACTTTGTGAAAGAGAAATAAAGTGAGAACAGTAATAGTAAGTAGTTAGCACTGAGAGGGTGGCCCATTCATTAAACAATGATATATACATCTACAGTTGTATCTAGTTTACCAGTGTTATGTAGTAGTTGAGATTGAGAGGCTTATCTATTGGAAAATTGCTATGCTGCAATAAATGGTGGTAATGGTTCTATTTAGTATGTGATTTATTTTCATCTATATAATACTGAACAGGCTGGAGAGGCCAAATATATGGGGTTTGTTTTTAGCAATTTTAACAGGTGGGGATATGTTTTGATTAATTGATTTTTTATGAAGAGTTGGTTGGTTGATGGGTGGTGGTTGAGACATGAAAGGTGAAATTAAGCCTCACACAGCATTTTACATAAATAAAAAGATAAATGGTGGAGTACATTAAAATATAGAAATACTTTGGTTTGCATCTTGTGTATATTAATGCATCATTGTTGGCTTGACCATGACATGGTTTTGTCAATGGTGATTATTTAAAGAAGAAAAATGGCTAAACGGTCAACACTACAGGTAAACTGTTGGTATTTTAGTCCTATTTTGTATTTGGAAAAGAGAAGCAGTGCCGAAATTCGGTCTCAAAAGTTGCAGGCATCCGTGCTGGTCATTCATGTATATGATCCATAATAAACAATTTATGGCAAGGTGAGTAATACTAGACTCGGCTACCCTAAATTTGTAAAGTTGAATCATTATGGAGGATTTTAATTTTTTCAAATAACTACAAGTTTCTGGGACTGTGTTTATTAACAGTTTCAATTAGATGGGCATTCACTGTATTTGTTTTGTGTATTTGTTCTGCTGTTCTGATTAGACCACATTTTGAGGTAATATAATTAGCATGGCATGGTGGTGAGTATTGTCATGTGTGCTTGTTATTGGCCATGCTAGGAAACTTGTGAGATGTCGGCTTATGCAAATAATCAAATGCTTGTTCTTGAGCCACATGAAGAAAAATGAAAGAGACTGCCAACTTGAGGGGAATATATCTGATTCCTTCCCCCACCTCAATTATACACTACAGGATACATAATACTAAAATATTGCAAGTTGTATGAATGTGAGCAAAACAAGTTTGTTTCTGAAAACAAGTTATACTAAGGAATGAAATTCTCACACAGAACCCAGTGTGCACTAATAAACAGAGGATCAAAGGTGTCCCTAGAGCAAATAAAACCCGCAGCAGATAGAAACAGAAACTTCCACAACTCATCTGTTAGCAGCAAACACTCCTGCCTCACTGGGATTATGATGATGAATGGCAAGAGTTCTTCACAATTGAAGCACCATCTCAACTTGTTTGATTGATTAACCTTTTCCACATGGCCTCACCTGTTAATACTTGATCGGCCCATCCAAACTCCCCGATGCAAACTGAAAGCATTGTAACTCAAAGTATTAGAAAAGCAACTCAAGGCTTTGAAAGCAGCAAAGATAATATAAGTTACAAATGTGCACTGTTGCTCAGACCAAAGGGCAAAGACATTACATGAAGACTTAACAAAATTAATAAACAAGGATTGTTTTTCACTAATGGATAACAAGAGAAAAGTTGATCAAGCATAAGAAAGTAAATATCCCTGCATCTGTAAGCAGAAATATGAATAATCATTTCTCAATGTACAGGTAATAAACTAGGCTGGCTTGCTCAACACTTATAGAATGAAATACCAAATGAAAGCTATACTGGTCTTAATAGTAAATGAAAACAATTGTCATAGATAGCTGATTTTCCTAGATGCACAGATTGTGGTGTCCCTCAGTCTGTCTGAGTGTTCACACAAATGCTCGCTCATGCGTGCACACTTTGGAAAAAAGAGAAGACAAAAAGTTGAAGTTACCTGTTGAACAATCGGATTTGTCGATGAAGCAAACTCATGTGTCATTCCTTGCCACACAACTTTCCCTTCATGCAAAAATAACAGTCTGGATATGGTTTTGTTATTAGTAGGACTATATAAATCGCAAATGGTGAGGGGCACAACAAGACTAGAAGAATAAGACTTCTCATAGAGGAAGTAAATGAATAGAAATCTATGACTACCTATCAACAGCTCTTCTGATGGTGCTATGTTGATGAGTGACGACTACATAAGATGCAATCTTCCCAGGCTTCCCAAGTGCATCCTCACCTTTCATATGAACGGATCGAATTAGATCTTCAACAACAGTGGATGCAATCGGATCAAGACCGGCTGTTGGCTCATCGTATAGGAGTACCTACTTGATAAATCAGTATAACTATCAATAAATATAACTACAAAACCACAATGTAAGGAAAGATGAAGGTAATTATCATCACGGAAGCTGAATTTAGTTAGAAATTTCTGCTAGATAACCAAAGCACTGGCCCTGAAAGGCAAAACTATGAGATGGAAAGTACCACAATTTAAGAATGAATAAGATAATTATTATCACGATAGCTGGATCGAATAAAATATTATACTTAAATGCATTGTGGTCAACCTGATCCCCTTAAAAACCAAACCATCAAAATACAGCATTGAGATTATCTGAAAGTGGACAACAATTTCACAATAAATCATGTACTGACTTTAACAATTTAGTTTTATAATTGCATTGATCGTCCTAGCAGCTATTTAACATACCACACGAACAATCGTAGTTCATTAGGAAACTGGTCATGATACTTATATTTCACACAATGCAAGAGGAAGTGTTACACCAAGCTGGAAGAAAATGTCATGAACCAACATAATGAAAAACTACATCACTTATTAAAAAACCAAACGTTTTCATGGCAAAGCATCCTCATACCTCAGGCTCTATTGTATCCTTTGTTGTATCAAATATTATAGAACGTGCCAGAGCAACTCTCTTTTTCATCCCACCCGACAATTCAGAAGGTAATCGATCCTCAACTTCCTGCAAAAAGAATTCGTCTAAACTTTGCCTTCCCCCAAAAATGAATAAGCTCTTTCATTGGATGGCACCAAACAATAGAAATGACTTCTAGTTTCCAAGCAATTTCCCTGGTCATTTCAACTCAAGTATCTTTAACCCGAACATTATACGAAAATCTAGAAATTTTGATAAATAGTGCTCATTTTATTCTCTCCCAAAGGTCAAAATGCATATTAAGCTTTATATAAAGGATAATTTATTATACTGGACAATGGGCATATTTGAAGAGGAGCAACGTAAACATCAAGTACCTGAGCAGCTATTACTTGTTGGTTCTTAACTAGTAAGATAAATGTTAATGTAAGCCTTCATAACTTGAAAAGTCACTACCAAACAGCAATAATAACTTGCAGACAAAATAATCATTAATTCCATACCTTTAATCCAACAGCAGCCAAAGTTTCTGTCACTAGCGCGGCAATTTGGTCTTCAGGCATAGCAGAATTTTCATACCTGTAACATTAATAAGACTCATAGTTGCTCAAATTCATTCGTTAACAGTGCAACAACAGGCTTACTAACATTTCCAAAGAGGACTCTTGCTACTTACAACAAAAAACCGACATTTTCACGAACAGTCAGAGAATCAAAAAGTGCTGCACTCTGAAACACCTATAACACAGCAAGATATTCAAGAACTGCTTGGAACAACTGCAATGACTTAAAACGCAACTATATATTCTTACCAAGCCAATTCTAAGACCAGATATTTCCTCATCACTGATCAACCCATGTCGTCTTTTTCCTCGGATGAAAACCTCACCCTATTCAACAATTAAAAGGTAACACATAGATAGTAGTAATGCTGGATTCCATTCTATATCAGTTGAAGATAACAAATATTAGAAAACTAAAAGAACACAATAAAAAGATACCTTGTCTGGCGCAAGAAGCCCAGCCATAATCTTCAAAATGGTTGACTTACCTGTCCCAGATGGACCAACAATTCCAACAGCCTCTCCATGCCTAATCTACAAAGGAATGATACTTTATCCAATTGAAATTCAGAAGCAGGGCAAAGATAATTCGATACGGGAATCAGATTAAAATGTAAGACAATGATTGACAAATTAAACCAACACGAGAGAAAAAAACTATATGTTAAATAGAAACATAGTAACACTCCCATTCTCCCACACCCATAAATAAGGCATATGACGATTAATTCAACAAGTGTTGGTACGACCACATATTATGTGTTTGTAATCCATAAAAAAGTTAATTCGCTGGAGTACGTAATAGCCATAATCAATAATGTCACCTTGAAGCTCACACCTCTTAATATGTTCTTCTCCCCGAAGGATTTGTATACATCTCTACATTCAATAAGGACATCTGACTCATCTTCTTCGTCCTTCTTGATACTTGAGTTTGCTATTTTATGAGGACCCTGTAGTAAACAAAGCAGCATACAAATTCCTTTATAGAAAGACAATAAAAAGTATGATACATTGACACTATAGCTAAGAAATGGAAGCCAACTAATCATATTAAGTTTTAGAGTTAAAGAACTGGAGATGTGCGGCTTCAGTATTCATTTCATTTCAATAGCATACTAGAGGGAAAAAAAAAAGGAAGTTTTTTCAATACAAGGCCTGAAAGATAGGTAAACTATCAAATCGGGGCCTAAAATATTTTTTTTCTCAATTCGGGACCTAAATGTTATAAAACTATCAAATTAAGTCCTAGAATTAGCAAAACCCATAACACCATTAAATTGAGAGTTAATTTGAAGTTTTAAAACACCAAATCTGTTACAAAGTAAAAAAAAAATGAAGAAAATTAAGGAAAATACGAGATTGTTGGAGAAAATTAAGGAACGTATGAAGCTGTTGCTTGGTTTTCTTGCTATAGCCTATTTCATTTATTTTTTTTTTGGAAATATTATGCGAATGCTACTTATTATTTTATGTGAGTAAGCACCAATCTTTTCTTTTTCTTTTTCTTTTTTAAACTCTCAATTTAATGGTGTTATGGGTTTCGTTAATTCTAGGACTTAATTTGATAGTTTTATAACATTTAAGTCCCGAATTGAGAAAAAAAAAATCTTTCAGTCCTAGTTTACCCATCTTTCGGGTCTTGTATTGAAAGAACTCCAAAAAAAAGGTTGTGGTTGCCTTAGGAGCTACGGGAAAAGTGCTGAAGAACGACAAACTTTGAATAAAACAGAGAAATATCATGAAAAAGAAAAAAATGAGACTAAATATGTGAGACTAACAATATATCTGGATGATGAGAGGTCCTGAGGCAGAGCGACACATGCACACGCAATCCTTCTATTTCTGGTTGCAATATCCCCATCAACTGAAGAAACTGAAAAGCAGCATCTCATGGAATTGGAGCCAACAGTAATAATGCCAAATCTGTTACTGTCGCTATAGGAGCGGCGCATACTCAAAGGGGCGTGTGGAAAAGAAACCACCGCCGCCACCATACTCTCTTTTACTGCACCAATCAAACAGGGAAAATTACGAGGAAATCACAAATACAAAAACATGAGTTGAATCAAATTTCTGGCAGGAGAAAGAAAATTATAGATCCTGGACCTAGCGCTGGGGATTCATTCTTTTCTTTTTCATTGTTCTTTCTTTTGTTCCCTCATCAATGTTCTTCCTCCATGCATGGAGTAAAAGCTCGGGACAACAAAGCGAAACCCCAGAAAATGGAAAATAAATAAGCAAATCGATAAATACAAATGGGTGAGGAAGTTGGCTACAATTTATAAATGTTAAGCTTGATTGAGACATTGCTAGCATTACTTGTCAATAGAGCTGTCAAAACAGGCCGGCAGGGTGGGCCAGCCCGTAGCCCACCAAAGCCTGCCTATTGGCGGGGCAGGACGGGCCTGAGAAAAGCAGTCTCAACAACCAACGAGTTAAGTTCAAATACACAAATTTCAGATACAACCTCAAAAATTCCGTCTCAACAACATATTTCAGCAAACTCACAAATTAAGTCCTGAACTCACAACCTCAGACAGAACCTCACAATCACAAATTCACAAATTTCAGCCTCAAATGCCCCGAAATCAACATGTTTTCAGCCTGAAATTCATATTTTTAAGCCACAAATTTCAGTCACAACCTCACCATCGTGACTCAGTTCTTTCAAGCCACAAAATTAACATATTCTCAGAGGGCCGGAGATTGAATTGAAGATACCTGAAACAGGGAAGCCCCTGGAATGGGCGGAGACCGGTAAAATCGCGAGCCAAATTTCGAGATTCTCGTGATGGATACCTGGCGGCGAGCTTAGACTCGGAGATTGCGTGGAGGTCGGAGGCGGAGGCGACGAAGAAGACGACTATCGAGAGTACGAGACGAGGGTCTGTTCTGCTTCTATCTGTGTGTGGAATGTAGATGCGTGTTGTGTGTGTGTGCCGTGCCTTCGGTTTTAAATAGGCTGGGCTGACCAGTTTATTGATACAGTTATTTTCACTCCAGTCCTGTTAAGTTTTTCACACCGCTCAATAAAAAATTAAGTTTTTCACCTTAAAAAGTGCAAAATATTGTGCGATGAATATGTGATAGTTGCGCGATGATATTGTGCGAAGGCATTCGCATATCCCTTCGCACTTTCTGGGGTGGAAAAAGTTAAAGTGCAAAGACATTGTGCGATGAATATGCGATAGTTGTGCGATGACATTGTGCGAAAGTTAGAAGTGCGAAGGCATTCGCATATCCCTTCGCACTTTCTGGGGTGGAAAAAGTTAAAATGCGAAGGCATTGCGCGATGAATATGCGACAGTTATGTAATTGATATGCGATAGTTATGCAGTTCATTCGCATAACCTTCGCACTTTCCGGGGTGAAAAAGTTAGATTGTTAGTGGGCGGTGTGGAAAACTTAATGTATCTTTTGGGGTGAAAAAGATTTTTTTCCTTTATCGATAAGCTCTTTCATCTATATTTATATCTACATCTATCAGTTTTGCTATGGAACCATCAAATGACACGAATTAGGAGTCATCCACACTTATTCACAAATAGTGTATAAAACCATCATCCATATTTATATCTATATCTATCAATTTTGTTATGGAACCATCGAATGACACGCATTAGGAATCATCCACACTTATTCACAAATAGTGTATGGAACCATTAGATGACACGAGTTAGGAGTCATCCACACTTATTCACAAATAGTGTATAAAACCATCATCCATATTTATATTTATATCTATATCTATCAATTTTGCTATGAAACCATCGGATGACACGAGTTAAGAGTCATCCACACTTATTCACAAATAGTGTATAGAACCATCGGATGGCACGGTTATGGAGTCATCCACACTTATTAACAAATAGTGTATTGACACTTGTCCTACAATAAATACACTTTGGACATGTGTCAATACATTAATGTGATGGATTATTCCTTAAGAAAACCATCCGATTGCTTCATAGAATTTTTGCAATATCTATATCTATATATATAAAAAAAATTGATTATGTTTTAATTAGTAACTATTTATCTCCAAAAAAATATTGTTTACTAAATCTGGAAATTATTTAATACATTTTATGGTATGTTTTAAAGGTACAATTCAGGTAATTACAGTTGATTTATTAAGGTAATATTAATCACAGAAAAAATTTCTTTTTTTACATCTATTAATTACACAAAGAATGTGATTTCTGATGATTTTTAAAGATACAATTTAAGTAATTGTTGTTGGTTTATTATGGTAAGTACTAATCACATATATCAGTCTCTAATATCTCGAGATACACATTTCCTAAAACACTAACTTTAAGAATAAAGTGTATCGTTTGATTTGCATAATATTATATTTAAAAGAAACTAATAAATATCCACAATTAAAAATAAATAAATATCATTCGATCCCGTCACTTCCTCTCCCCCAAAATCATGTCGCTTCCCCAAGTAATCTCGTCGCTTTCCTGTCAAAATTTTCGTCGCCTTCCCTGATAGGGCTCGTCGAGTGCACGGTGGTGGTTCTACTGGGCTTCGCCGCCCATTTCTGAGAGATGCGCTGCTAGGAGAGGAGCTTTTTCGCCGGGGAGAAGGTTGCGCCGTGTTCCGGTTACCGCCTTCATACTGGAAGTGTATGGCGTGCGACTGTTTTTCCTTCGGTATCTCCGTTGCGGCGGCTCTATGGCGCTCTCTTGGAGAGGGCTGTGACCCCAATTTCCCGATCTAGGGTTTTGGGTGGAGACATTGTCCGACCTTTCAGTACTTCTCGGCCATGATTCTGGGCGTTGGAGTTGTGGTTGTCGGCTCTAGTTCGGGGCGTTGGTCGGCCCTGGTTCTAGGTGTCGGATTCGTAGTCGACGACCCTGGTTCTGGGCGTTGGACGACGATCAAAGGGCTGGGCAAATAAGCTCTCGGACCATTGTCACTGACTGGTTGGTGAGGCGTGTTGGTCTCCGGGTATCAGTGGGGTTGTTCGGTTGGACGAGGGTTGGGCCCGACGGTTCCCGACACAGTTAGACGTTCTCTTGCAATTTCTGGGTCGTGACTTTGCCATTGTTGTGCTTGGTGCGGTCTCCCACTAGGGGAAGGGCTTTCATTTAGGTTTTGATTCGTTTCATGTTGTCTTGTTTAGTGTTTGTTATGTTTGTTTAGTTTTGTCTGTTTGATAGGAATGTATTTTTGGTTTGGGATTTCGGCCTCTGTTTCCCCCGAGTGAGTGCTTTATTATTCTTTTGGGATCGATTCTCACTCAGGTATTATCCTGTTGGGATCTTTTAGTTTCGTGTCTTGTTGTGTAGTATTGTGTTTGTGTTTTCTAGTGTTGCTAGGACTGACTCCTATGTGACCTTCGACCTTTGGNAATAATAAATATACATAACAAAAAAATGTTAAATTTATATAATTGCGTCTAAAGTGATATCAGTGTTCGATATCTATACTTATATAATCAATTTTGAAGATTACTTCAATTTTTTACTTTAAAAATGCGTATAATGTAATCAATACAATTTATATGAAAGTTCTAAAAATAAGGAAATCAACTTTAAATATATTTATTATCGACTGAACTAGATATTTATTATATATAGATACCTAACTAATACAGATACATAACATAATAATATTTGAATTTATATTTTGTATGTACCTCGAGATATTCAAAATAACCAAGCTGTATATAAAGATTTATTTTCAAAATATGAGATACATACCAATTTACAAATAAAAAACGAGTGCTGAGATATTACTTTGCAATATACAAAAAATTCTATTTCCAAATAATCGGCTTTTTTGCCAAAAAAGCATTAAGAAACGTGTGAATATACCTTTCAATAGACAAAAATTTTATTAACAAATAAATAGGTTTTTTCCCACATCTACTCAAGAAAACATGTTGGTACTGTACATGAAGAACCTTGCAACATATATAATTATTATTTTTTATTTGAAAATTAATTATAATATCAAATATCAAATCATTATAATGTAACATAAATAAATAATATTATAAATTAATAAATCGATGCAATTTCTAGACCATAAGTTGTCTTTTTTACAATATTTTCAAATCAAAATATTTTGAAATTTTATTCAATTAAGCCTTTTACTAACTCTATAAATTGATAGATAAGTCATCTAATAACTCATATGCTCAATATTCTTTTTAATTTTGCTTTCAGACAATTACAATACTTTCACATGAAGTGCAAATTTGGTTTGCCAAAGTAAGTTTCAAGAACCGATAAACCATGCTTGATATTGCAAGTAATTAGAATAATTGCTCGCATTAAAAACTACATGAAAAATCCTATTTCATGACGAGGAGCTGAGTTTCATTTATTTTCATTGCAATTCGTGTTCTTATATTGATAATAATACTAACACTAATATTAACTTAATGTTTGAAGTTTATTATAATAACTTTAGTACTCATGTGTTTGAATGTAAGGTACGATATTGGTTGTCACAAAGCTCTCCACTCATGTGCTTGAATGCAAGGCATTGACTGGATCTAATGCATGAGAAAAGGTGTTGATACTTCGGATGACTAACACCTTCCGACTTTATAGTACTTTTAAAATTTCAGCGGAAAAATTTCTCCTAATGGTTTCTTATGACATTACGATTAACAAGAGCCAGAGTTAGTCTTTTCACATGTTGGCATATTCTTGAAAAAGTGGTGTCACTACAAGAAATCTGCCAAAAAGTGACGAAATTCATGTGACGAAAAAAAAAATCGTCACCATATGTTGCCTTATGGTGACGAATTTAAAAAATCGTCATTACATCATCGCATACGGCGACGGCCACTACATTCGTCATCTTATAATTTATTTTTCGTCACATAATCGTACTTTTCATGACAATACATCTCAATTTGTCACCTATACATCTAAATTTGTCACATTTATATAAAATGTGACAAATTCCATGTGACAAAAAAAATGTCGTCACTGTTGTTGGTATTGGAAATGACGCTTACGACTAATTCGTCATTATATAATTATTTATTGTGACGTTGCATTATAGTACATCTAAATTCGTCACATTAATACATACTATGACGAAATTCAGTGCGACGAAAAAAAATCGTTGTTTTTGTTTATATTTAAAATGACGCTTATGAAAATTTCGTCATTATATAATTTTGTTTTGTGACGATAAATTATAATTCAATTAAATTCGTCACATTAATATAAAATCATTGTTTTTTCTATTTAATATGATGCTTACGAAAAATTCGACATTATATATTTTTTTGTGACGATAAAATACAATTCATTCAAATTCATCACATTAATACATATTATGGCGAAATTCATTATTACGAAAAAAAAATTGTTGTCATTTTTTTTATTTAAATTGACGCTTACGAGTACTTCGTCATTAAATACTTGTGTCTTGTGACGATACATTATAATACATCTGAATTCGTCAGAGAAATACATATCATGATGAAACTCGCACGTCGTCATTCTTTTTGGCATTTAAAATAACGCTTATGAGTAATTCGTCGTTATATACATATGTCTTGTGACCATTACAATACATCTAAATTCGTCACATTAATACATCTCATGACGAAATTCATTGCGACAAAATAAATGTCGTCGTTAGTTTTGGTACTTACAATGTCGATTTTGAATAAATCTTCGTTATATAATTTTTTATTGTGACACTACATTACAATACATCTAAATTCGTCACACTAATAAATCTTATGAGGAAATTCAATGCGACAAAATAATTGTCGTATTTTTTATGTATTTAAAATGATGCTTTTCAAAAATTGGTCATTATTGCAATATGCATTGTGACGATACATTAGAATACATCACATATTGTCACTTTTTTATCTAACATGACAAATTCCATGATACAACATAAATGTCGTTGTTTTTTGCTTTTAAAGTTATTGATGATTTTGCA